GCGCCTGTAATCCCAGCTACTTGGGAGGCTGAGGCAGGAGAATGGCTTGCATCTGGGAGGTGGAGGTTGCGGTGAGCAGAGATCGTGCCATTGCACTCCAGCCTGGGCAACAAGAACGAACTCCATCCCAAAATAAAAATCATCTCGTGAGACTTATTCCCTACCATGAGAACAGTATGAGGGAAGCTGCCCCCATAACTGAATTATCTCCACCCGGCCTTGCCTTGACACATGCAGATTATTACAATTCAAGGTGAGATTTGGGTGGGGACAGGGCTGCACGTCACGGGGTGAGGCTCGGCAGCGCTCAGCCACCGGAATGCTGCCCTCCAAGGCTGGCTGGTGCTGCTGCCATGCGATGGCCGGGCTGCCAGCAGCGGAGGTGCCGCTGAGCCCCACTGGGTGCCATTTCCTTTCGAGACTCTGGGGTCTTCTACCACGGTGGAGCAGCGACACGCACCCCGGACATGGCTTCCCCGCTCTGCCCTCTGAGTGAGGTCCCACCTCACGCGGCTCTCTGAGCTGCTCACGCCCCGTGTTTCATCCAACGCGAACTCCAGCAAGCCGATCGTTTTGCAGGCGGGATGGGCAAACCACACGGCTTCCCATGCATGCTCCAGCTCCTCGCGTGCACAGCAGCTGGTCCTGGTGATGCTGCGCGTGAGACGCAGCCATGCGGAATCCAGTCTCCAAGATGACAACAGGGACCCCTGGATGTTCACACCGGAGCCCCCCACACAGGGTCTCGGGCCAGCCTGGACACAGCAGCGGTGACAGCGTCGCCTCCAGACGACATGCAGCTTCTATTTCTGTCTCTTAGACTACACGACAGCTGCTTGGGGGACTTGGTGGCCACTCAGGGCACAGCCCCATGAGGAGGTCCCTATCACACACACCCAGAGCTTCGGCCGGCGGCCGGGTGAGTGAGCATGGGAATAGGTCTCCCCACTCAGCGGGCCCTCGGCGGTACCCATGTGGCTGGCACCTTGTGAGCCGCCCTGACCCCAACCCTCAGAAACCGAGGCCATCACACCCGCTGCCTAGGTGGCTAAGGGCTGCATGGCTTGTTCTGCGGCTGCAGATGACACTCACAGTGTGGCAGCAGGGACACGAACTGAGCAAGGTTTAGGCGCCATCCCCAGAACGCAGCTTTTGTCCCGAAGCAGTGGCCAGCCTTGTGCCAGCCTCTTGTCCCAGAGCCACAACCGAGGATTCCTGGAAGCAGAGACTGTGCTCCCCAATATGCCCCTCTCACACACCCATGGCTATTTTGTTTCTGTGCCCTCTGCACTGGGCTCTATTGCTTAGGATGCCCCCGTTCCAGAGGGAGGAGGCCTGGAAGAGAGACCCTGAAACAATTCCATTGCCTGGAAGCTGAAACTGCGCCTCGCCATCTGGTGCTCCTTACACCCCGGACCCAGAGACAACAAAAGGAGTTTCCACATTGGCCACGGAGACCTTGACTGTGAGTGGGAGGGGTGCTACCTCCAATGGGACCCAGCGGGAATATGCCTGGAACCCGGGGAAACTTGGGGACTGGCACAGTCATTCCCAGCAGGGAAGTGAACGAATAGTGGGCAGCTCCCCAAGCAGGACACCCAGCCATGGACAGACATGAGGCCACACATGACACCCAGCTGTGGACACAGGGCCACGTGAGACACCAAGCCGTGGACACGCACAGGGACACATGCAGGGCCATGTGGGACACCCAGCCACGGACACACATAGGGACACACGCAGGGCCATGTGGGACACCCAGCCATGGACACACATAGGGACACACGCAGGGCCATGTGGGACACCCAGCCACGAACAAGCACAGGGACACATGCAAGGACATGTGGGACACAGCCACGGACATACACAGGGACACATGCAGGGCCACATGAGACACCCAGCCATGGACACACATAGGGACACACTCAGGGCCTTGTGGGACACCTAGCTGTGGACACATGCAGGGACATGCAGGACACCCAGCCGTGGACAGACACGGGAACATACAGGACGCCCAGCTGTTGACACATGCATGGCCACACAGGACACCCAGACATGGACACGCACAGGGACATACGCAGGTGCACACAGGATGCCCAGCTGTGGACACATGGGGCCATCCATGAGCCCCTGCGTCAGGCTGTACCCGGGAGCCGGGCACTGGGAAGCTCACTGCAAGCGTCTGCTGGCAAAGTCCTAGAAGACCTAACCCCACAGGTGGAGAGCAGACCAGAGGTGGCCTGGTGGGGTGGGGCTGCCCACTTAGGCCGTGTGGGGAACGTTCCGGATGCTTTGTGCTGCATGCAAATTAGACCCAGATAAAGCTGAGTCAAAGTCCACGGGCAGCCAGCAGCAGCCAGGCCCACAGGAGGAGGGCAGCAGGTGGGTTCCGGGGGCTCGGGGCCGCGCAAGGAGAGTCCGGAGTCCGGGGCCGGCTGCGGGGAGGGACGGGCCGGCTATCTGCCTGAAACGAGGACGGTGGGAGGCAGGGTTCTCGCCATCAGAGAAGGTGGGTGAGAACAGACCTGTGGCTTTGGTTGCAATTGGAATTATAGATGTGAACGGGAGGTTTCGACACAGCCAGGCAGGCAGGTGGGCAGAGCTGTGCCGGTGTTTCCCGCCTCCGTCTACTGCTGGTCAAGGGGCTGGGTCCAGGCAGGGGCAGGGAATATTAAGGGGAACCTGAGCCTCTCACTGTGCCCGAAAATGCCCACAGAGCGACAGGGACACGAACGCAGGATGTGGAAGGAAGCCACCACCAAACGTGGCGCGGCTGGGGCACCCAGACAAATCACGATGGGCTGGGTCATGGCCCCCGGGACACAGCAACCCGAGCCTGCACGGCAAGCAAACACGGAGGAGAGAACGCTGTCCTAACGGTGGAAAGCCAAGTAACAGGAAGGAATGGTGGAACTGGAAAACCACCCCTTAGAAGCCACGACAGCAGGAATCAGTTCCTGCAGGAAACACCGTCGGATGCCAGCGCCGTGGGATTTCCTGGCCTCAGCGCTTCTCCCCTCAGGCTGCGCGTCAGTTTCCAGGGAAACGGCATCACTGCACTGAAGAAGCCGGCGACCCCATGGCAGAGCTGGCAGCCATCATGCGTCCCACGAGGGGACACTGAGGGGAACAGCTCATCACGCCGGATGCATTGAGCACGGGCACCACGTGGGACAGCCCCAGCTGTGATCTCAGAACTACAAGCTCTGCCTGTCCCAGAAGGACTGAGCCTCTTCCTGATTGTGGGAGGCGAGGGAGCCACCCTCACACAATGCCCACGTGGGCTCCGGGGACGGCTCCCGGACGGGGGTCTGAGTGCCATTTTGCAGCTCTTCTGTAAGTTCGGAATTGTTTCAAAATAAGACTTTTTGTTTTTGAGATGGAGTTTCACTCTCGTTGCCCTGGCTGGAGTGCAGTGGCACGATCCTGGCTCATCGTAACCTTCGCCTTCCAGGTTCAAGCAATTCTCCTGCTTCAGCCTCCCAAGTAGCTGGGATTACAGGCATGAGCCACCGTGCCTGGCTAATTTTGTATTTTTAGTGGAGACGAGTTTCTCCATGTTTCCCAGGCTGGTCTTGAACTCCTGACCTCAGATGATCCACCTGCCTCGGCCTCCCAAAGTGCTGGGATTACAGGTGTGAGCCACCCCACCCGGTCCCCTCCTTTTTGTTTAAGACAGAGTCTTCCTGCCTCTGTCGCTCATCATAAAGTGCAGTGGTGCAAACCCGGCTCACTGCAACCTCTGCATTGGCTCCAGGGATTCTCCTGCCTCAGCCTCCCGAGTAGCTGGGATTACAGACATGCACCACCATGCCCAGCTAATTTTTGTATTTTTAGTAGAGATGGGGTTTCGCCATGTTGGCCAGGCTGGTCCTGACCTCAGGTGATCCGCCTCCTTTGGCCTCCTGAAGTGCTGGGATTATAGGCATGGGCCACTGGGCACAGCCGAAAACTTTTTTTTTTTTTTTTTTTTAAAAGAAGTAGACAATCACAGCAAGCTCGTAAAGTGAGGCCTTCCAGGGTTCATCAGCCCCGCAAACTGTCTATGGTTCATTAGCCTGAGAACCGTACAGGGTTCATTAGCCCTGTGGAGCCCCCAGCCCTGGTGCAGGTGCTGCTGAGCAGTGAGAGGCGGGCACAACACGGCCAGTTGTCAAAGGAGGACCACGGGGACGGTGCTCTCCTCCATGCTCAGCTGCAGCGGGGTTCAGTGGCCTCCCCTGTACCCCTCCTGCTGCTACACAGGCGGGCCATGGCGCAGGGCACTGGACCCCAGCTTGAGTAGCGACCACATCACAGCTAGCTCGGGTCAGAGATTGGCTCAGGGCCCAGTGCTGTCTTCAGTGGGGTGGGGTCAAAATGTTAGGTCCCAGGAGGCCGGCGGTATGAGATGGGTACTCTTGTGGGCAGTGTGGCCTGAGGCCAGCACTCAGCCCTGTTTCCCCCACCCTGCCCAGGCTGGAAGGCTCGGGTCATCCCAGGCACCTGCAGGGTCAGTGCTGTGGACGTCACGGACCTGGCCGCAGTGCCCAGGGCTGGGGGGCTGTGTGGTTTGGGAGTCCTTCTTAAGGTCAGCTCAGGGTCCCCTCGGTCACTCTGCGCAATTCGTGCACCTTCCCAAACCCCTTCTTGCTAAACTCATCAGAGGCCACTCGGTGCCTCCAACCCCAGCTCCACAGGGAAGTATTCAGGGCAAGGAGGCAGCTGTCTCTCCGGCCTCTGCAAACCCAGCTCGCCGTTCTGTGGAAGCGCAGAGCACGAGAAACCAGGAAGGAGGAAAAGGAACCTGATTGTGGAGTTGCCAGGAACACAAACAAACCCAGGAAAACTGAAGAATGCAGCGTGAAGGCTACTCCTTCTGACCACGGCTTTCGCTCAGTCCTCTTTCCATCTCCCAGTGTTTGCCCGTCGAGTGCAGAACAGAACCCCCCAGATCTGCTTCTCTGCCCACAGGTGGGAAGGACCCGCCTGCTGCCAGCCCCGGCTCTGCCCCGACTCACTCGCTCTCCTTCAGCATGGCCTCAGTTCTCAACTGCAGGTTGCTCTCGTTCTCCAGCTCCGCAAACAGGCGTCTGGACACGGCCTGCAGACGGCCCACGGCAGCCCTGCAGAGGTGAAGGGACAGGCCGGGTGTGCGTCAGGCCTGGGTCACCCCGGGGCCACCCAGGCTTGCCTGGCACCCCTTGGCCTCCTCTCCCTCAGGAGGGAAGTCTTGAGCTGGGCCACGGAGCAGGTGAGGAGTGTGGGGCCGGCAGGAGGCTCTCCCCATGCCCACTTCCCACTGGGCACGTGGGCACACATGATGAGCCCCAGGCCCTCGTGTCGGGGCTGCCCTGGGTCCGTCCCTCCCTCCTGCTCCCCTCCTGGTGTCATCCACCCCAGTGCACATCCAGCGCCAGCCCAGCCACGCTCCTAGAGACCACTTCCTGAGCAGTGGACAGTGTGCCCATGAGAGCCGCACAGCGTGAAGCCGGCCGGAGGTCCCAGCCGTGTGCGCAGGAGGTGGGCTTTCAGCAGCTGGCTGGTACGGCGGTCACCCGAACACCCCGAGTTACACGGTCCAGGAATGTGGCAGGTCAAAGCCCCGCAGAGGCCTGGGCAGCCCCATCTGTTCCTCGACCCTCAGGCCCCCAGCCCACAGTGGCCAGGAGCCCTTACCCCCCAGCCAGGAGGAGCTGCCGGTTCCCTCGCCCCTGGCTGCTGGGCCTCCGCTCCTCACGGCTGCACCAGCCACTCCAGGACGGGCACCCTGCTGGGGCCTTCCAAGGGCTGGGCTGGGCTGAGCTCGGCAGGCGCCCTGTGTCCCCGGGGTCGGAGGTGAGGCCAGAGCTGAGGCAGCGGAGCCACGCTCAGGGATGCAGGGACTGTCAGTTCCCCCAGGCCCTCCTGCTGTGAGAGAGCATGGGACCCATGTGGTCCTCTCACCTCTCACCCCGCCCTGGGCGGCCTTGCTCTGCTGCTCCAGGTAAGAGCAGCCCCAGGGGCCTTCCCCTGACTGTGGACCCACGCGCCCTGCCTCCCAGTGACCCAGCCCCGGTGCCCTCCAGCCCCGGCTTTGCCGACCTCATGTGCTTCTGTGTGTTTGTGTGTCGTGGCCACACCCTGGGGCGCCTCACTGGCCTGAACATAGCAGGCGCCTTGTGCTCCCCTTCCGGTGAAGGAAGGAGCCTCTGGCCCTGATCTGACGCCCTGTTCCCTGCCCTCTGGCGAGGGCCACCTACGTGTTGCCGGCCTGTCCCTCTGCGGCGATCTCGGCCGCCGTGGCCTCCTGCTGCCTGCGGGTCAGGTCCTGCCTCTGCCGACAGGCGCGCAGCTCCCCTCTGGAACAAGGAAGCGAGGGTCAGATGATGCTTCCCTGAAACTCCAGCCTCCGAAGTGGCAGTGGGGCCGGGGAGGCTGGGCCAGGCCCCAGAGGCCTCCTCATCCAGGCCAAGAGTCTCTCTAACACCTTCGAGCCACACAAGAAGGGTCCTGTTGTCTGTTTTTGGAAAACCCTGCCCAGGGGCAGCAGTGTGGCCCCACCTGAAGGTGAGGTGGTCTTGGGGCCAAGGATGGCGCAGGAGCAGGAGGGGACCCGTGTCTGCGTAAACAAGTGTGCTCCCGCGTGTGACGGGTACGTGGCGGGAAGTCTGGGGGCCACGGGAGGGGACACAGCTGCAGCTCCCTCCACAGCCTTCCAGGGTGCAGACCAGGCAGGCCCGGATCGCCAGTGGGGCGTGGGCCGGAAGGAACCCCGGTTCACACACTAGCCCCTGGGGTGACCCTGGCCTCAGTTACCAACAACGGAGCAAAGCCCAGAGCACAAACTCTGGGGGTCGCTCTGTTTTTTTTGCTTTTTTTCAACACAGAGCCTCACTTGTCTCCTAGGCTGCAGTGTGGTGGTGCGATCTCAGCTCACTGCAACCTCCGCCTCCCGGGTTCAAGTGATTCTCCGGCCTCAGCCTCCCGAGTAGCTGGGATTACAGGCGCCTGCCACCAGACCCAGCTACCTTTTGTATTTTTAGTAGAGATAGGGTTTCACCGTGTTGGCCAGGCTGGTCTTGAACGTCTGACCTCAGGTGATCCACCCGCCTTGGCCTCCCAAAGTGTTGGGATGGCAGGTGTGACCCCCTGTGGCCGGCTGTGATGGTCACTTGGAAGACACAGGGCCGCTCCAGGAGCATCTGAGGGAAATCGTCATTTCCGTAGGTGAAGAACCCATGTTAGGGGCCCAAGCTATGCAGAAGAACGTTTGTCTTTTAATTTTTTATTTTCAAAGACAGGGTCTTGCTCTGCCACCTAGGCTCCCTGCAGCCCTGACCTCCTGGGCTCAAGCCTCCCGAGCAGCTGGGACCACAGGCACCACCCTCCCAGCTGAATGTTTTGATTTTTGAGGAGACACTGAAATATTTAGGCATGAATTAGCGTACCTGTAATTTGCTTTAAAATAATTTAGCAAAAAACCCCATAGATATAAAATACAGACACACACATACATAGAGGAAGAAACTACAGCAAAGGCTTGACAGCCGGTGACTCGGGGGATGCTGGGGGGCAGGGCACTTGTTTCCGCCTTCTCTGTGGGAAGAGGGCTGGGAGCACTGGGCACCAGCTCCTGGGTGGGGCTTGCAGAGCTTCTCCTCCACAGAGACGCTGAGAGACCCTCCCGGGCAGTCTCCCAAGGTGGCGACAGGCACAGGGCCACCCCTGCGGCACCCGTGTCACGGCCTGGGGGGGCAGCAGGAGGTGGCAGGCGCAGTGGCCTCAGGCACGCTCACCTCGTCTTCTCAATGAAGAGGACTTGCTGCTCATGCATCTTATCCAGGGCGCTCAGGTTCTGTCGCAGGTGAGACGCCTGCATTCTGTCCTCAGCTGTTTTCCGCTTCATTTTGTCAGCACCAGTATCTTGTTCTTTCACTGAGCTTAGGATGAAAAGGACGCCAGCTGCCACCACGCCGGCTGCAGCCTCAGAACGCCTTCCTCGTGTGGCCTGCGGGGCTGCGGCCTGTGGGAGGGAGGGACGGAGGGAGCAGCCCCCACCGGCACCCGCCCCGGGAGTCACCTGCTGTGTTCTGGGTCCGCGTCATCCTCCGCTTCCTGCAGAAGAGACCTGATGTCAAACCCCGGATCCTCTAGTTCATGTCTTTCTAGAAATCGAGGCAAGAGTTAAAAAAAACAAAAAGCAGATCAAGCATTTGCTCTGAAGTTTGAGGATAAATCTTTTTCTTTTTTGAGACAGGGTGTAAGGAACCTAGGGCAGAGGCGAGCAGCCTGGGGGACTCCGTGGGATTGGGGCGCTGGTGCCCAGAGAGAGAGAGAAACAGAGAGCCAGGGCTGGTCTGTGCAGGCGAACGGGGGCGGGGGGCGCCAGGGCACAGCACAGCTCAGCTGTGCCCAGAGAAAGAGCGGAGCTGCTACCCTGAAGGCAGCAGGCGAGGGAGCCGCCGGACCAGGCAGCCGGGACAGGCAGACGGCGTGAGAGAAAGCTGCGGGGAGCTGCCGTCGGAGGACACCCCTGCTCACCTGCCTGCGGCCCCGAGTGCTCCTGCTGCTCACCCGCCCACTCCCTTGGGACCTCAGCGTGACATTTGGCGTAGTCGTGAGTCTGACACAGTCTCGCTCTGCTGCCCAGGCTGGAGTGCGGTGGCGCCATCTTGGATCTCTGCAGCCTTCGCCTCCCGGGTTCGAGGCATCCTCCCACCTCAGCCTCCCGAGTAACTGAGACTAGAGGCGTCTTCCACCACGCCTGGCTAATTTTTATGTTTTTAGTAGAGGGTTTCCCCATGATGGCCAGGCTGGTCTTGAACTCCTGACTTCAAGTGATCCACCCACCTTGGCCTTCCAAAGTGCTGGGATTACAGGTGTGAGCCACCACACCCGGCCAGGTTTTTGTTTGTTTGTTTGAGATGGCGTCTTTCTCTGTTGCCCAGGCTGGAGTGCAGTGGCGCAATCTTGGCTCACTGCAACCTCCGCCTCCTGGATTCAAGCAATTCTCCTGCGTCAGCCTCCTGAGTAGCTGGGACCACAGGCACCTACCACCATGCCCAGCTGACTTTTGTATTTTTAGTAGAGACAGGGTTTCACCCTGTTAGCCAGGCTGATCTCGAACTCCTGACCTCAGGAGATCCACCTGCTTCAGCCTCCCAAATTATTGGGATTACAGGCACGAGCCACCGCGCCCCACCTATCCACCCACCAGTTTTAGGATAAATCTTGACAATCTCTAACTTGATGGTTCTCACAGCAAAATCCAGGGAACGCTGAGAGTTCCTTAGTGTCTTTCAGAGCCTGTAGGTGAAACTGTCTTCATCATCACACTGGCTTGCCATCTGTCTTCTCTTTCCATGAGTGTACAGTGGAGTCTTTCAGAGGCCACAGGACGTGTGACGTCACAGCAGATAGCTGTGAGACTCCAGCTGCCTTCTGGGAAACCCGATTCTTGAAGTTCCTGCTAATAGGTTTGTTATTGCTATTTTAAATGACTAACTATTGAAATGTTTTCAGCTTTAATTTTTGGCACAGCAAGTACTGAAAGATATAGGCAACATAAGCAAATGTTCTCTGGGTCTTCAATGATTTTTAAGGATGTAAAGGGGTTCTCAGGCAAAAGAGGCTGAAGGTCACTGTCTCAGAAGATTACAGTGGACTTCCAGCAAAACAGCAAATTCAACACGGGGTTTCTTCCCTTCATTAAATCTCAGTAAAAATGACGGAAAAGGCAGAAAGCCACAGTCACAAGGGGAGCAGGAGAGGGAGACAGTGGGTGGAGAAGGCCACACAGCGCCGGGAGACGGGCCGCTGACTCAGCACACAACAGAACCCAAAATGAGGTGGGGGGGGAGTGGGGGGGGAAGGAAACGTGCTTCCAGATCAGGATGGCCTGCCGGTGCCCAGAACTAGAACCAAATCAAGGCACGTCTCAGAAAAATTTCAGATCATCAGAGATTTTTTAAAAAAGCTTCCAGGAAAAGAAAACAAAAATAGGTCACATTCAAAGGACTGGGATAAAAATGGCATCAGATTTCTCAATACTGATGTTGCAAACTAGAAAACTATGGTCTGCTGCTTTCGAAATCTCAGCCACAATTTGTCTTTCTTTCAAATAAGGACAATAATATAAGCTCCCTCTTTGAGAGAAAAATGTGAGTGTAAAGGCTCTCCTCCCCCAGAGTAAAGGGAGTTACAGGGGGACTATGAAGCATGTCATTTTTCTTTCTTGTTGCTGAGAGTTGTGTTACTGCGAATGAAGCTTTATCGGCTGGGCACAGTGGTTCACGTCTGTAATCCCAGCACGTTGGGAGGCAAGGCAGGCGGATCACAAGGTCAAGAGATCGAGGTCATCCTGGCTAACGTGGTTGTAGGAAGTGGAAAAGTTCCTCTTTAAAGTTTCCTTTCTTGTTAAAGAATAAGTGTGCCAATAACTTTGTGAAGCCATATCCTATGTAGCTGTTAGACCTGCCATGCTTACAGGCACGTGGTACATTCTGTGTCCTTGTACTTTAACCAAGATAGCTGTGCTGGACGTGCTCACAGGCATGTCCCAGCTCTCCACTGCTTTTACCTGTTCAGAAAAGTTTTAAGTTGTTGGCCAATCGGGTTTTAGTTTAGATTGTGAGGTCTGGCTCCAACCAACGGAGATCAGGCACAGCAGTAAGGACGACCCCAAATGCGTGAGGGATAAATATGTCTGTCTTCCTTTGTTCATTGTACTCTCTGGCAAGATAGCTAGCGAGATTACCCTTCCTGCAGTCCAGGAAGTCAAAGTTGCGTTGCTGAAAGATCGTTTGTCTCAGTGCTGATTTTCCTTTGTGGCACTGAGCATCTGTTTCCAACAACGGTGAAACCCCATCTCTACTAAAATACAAAATTACCTGGGTGTGGTGGTGGGCACCTGTAGTCCCACCTACTCAGGAGGCTGAGGCAGGAGAATCACTTGAACCCAGCAGGCAGAGGTTGCAGTGTGCCGAGATTGCTCCACTGCACTCTTGCCTGGCAACAGCGCAAGACTCAGTCTCAAAAAAAAAAAAAAAAAAAAAAAAAAAGCTTTATTACCGTCTTCCAAAAGGGGGAAATCGTGCAAAAGCTCCTCCTCAGGGAACAGGTCGCTGCCATCGTCCATGCTGGGAGATAGAGATTAGCTACAAAAGATGATCACAAAATACAGATCAATAAAATAATAGATTAAAAGAATCTATGAATGAGCAATTTCTCTTAAAGAAGATATTAAGAAAATAATGCACAGATTGGGAAAGAATGTTTGCAGCACACACATATCTGACGCAGGTCTTGGATCTGGAGCACGCAAAGAGCTCCCATCAACCACACAAAGTGCAAACACCAGTTTAAAAGGTCAAAAGAGGCCAGGTGTGGTGGTGCACACCTGTAATCCCAGCACTGTGAGAGGCCGAGGCAGGTGGATCACCTGAGGTCAGGAGTTCCAAACCAGCCTGGCCAACAAGGGGAGGCTACAGTGAGCTGCGATAGCGCCACTGCACTCCAGCCTGGGCAACAGAGTGAGACCCTGCCACAAGAGAAAAAGAAATTGCCCTAGAGCATTCCGGAGTATCACTTTACACTGCCGTTGAAATACAAAACTGAAATAATTAAATACAAAATTAGCCATGTGTGGTGGCGCGCGCCTACTCGGGAGGCTGAGGCAGGAAAACGGCGCGAAACCCGGAGGCGGAGGTGAGCAGAGATTGCGCCACTGCACTCCAGCCTGGGGACAGGAGCGAAACACCATCTCAAAAGTGAACAAAAGAAAAAGAAATCAAAAGATGTGGAATAGCCACAAAAAAAGAGATATACAAATGGCTGATATGGCTCTGACCCTCGGAGTCACATCAGCATCTTCAGGGAAATGCGGACGAAGCCGTAATGAGACACCACTAAAGACTGATTGGAACGCCTGAGACCAAAGTGCTGCCGGCCGCCAGCACTGGCGAGGCTCTGGAAGGCTGGCATCGGCGCGCGTTGCCGGTGGGAGCGTAAAGTGATGTTCTGGAACACGGTGGGGCAACGTCTTTTTTCTTTTGTGATGGGGTCTCACTCTGTTGCAGTCACAGCTCACTGCAGCCTCAAACTCCTGGGCTCCGGCAGCCTTCCTGCCTCCACTTTGCAAGTAGCTAAGACCACACGCATATACTAACATGCGCTGCTAATTTTAAAATTATTGGTGGAGACAGAGGGTCTCTCTGTGTTGCCCAGGCTGGTCTTGAACTCCTGGTCCCAGCCAGGATTCGCCCACCTCAGCCTCCCAAAGTGCTGGGATTATAAACCTGACCCACTACACCTGCTGCCAAAAATAATTCTTAAATAATTTCAACATTATTGTTACACTTTGGTTATCATGTTGGGAATGTTAGGAGGTTGCTCGTGTGGAACTCTAGGTGCTGAATCTTATGTGTCCACATGTTGGAATTAAATGATTTCACTTAAGAAACAGGCCAGGCGTGGTGGCTCACGCCTGTAATCCCAGCACTTTGGGAGGCTGAGGCGGGCGGATCACTTGAGGTCAGGAGTCTGAGACCAACCTGGCCAACACGGTGAAACCCAATCTCTAATAAAAATACAAAAACTAGCCAGGTATGGTGGCAGCACCTGTAGTCCCAGCTACTTGGGAGGCTGAGGCAGGAGAATTGCTTGAGCCCAGGAGACAGAGATTGCATTGAGCCGAGATCACGCCACGGCACTCCAGCCTGGGCGACAGAGGGACACTCTGTCTCAAAAAAAGAAAAAAGAAACAATGTTAAAATGACAAACTCTTTAGTTCCTTAATTTTTCTGGTGAAAATTAAATTTAATGTCTAACTTCCTTTTATTTTTTTGAGACAGGGTTTGACTCAGTTGCCCAGCCTGGAGTACAGTGGTGCTATCATAGCCCACGGCAGCCTCGAATTCCTGGGCTCAACTGATCCTTCTGCCTCAGCCTCCCAAGTAGCTGGGACTACAAGCATGCACCACCACACCCAGCTAATTTTTGTATTTTCTGTAGAGACGGGGTTTTGCCATGTTGCCCAGGCTGGTCTCAAACTTTTGAGATCAAGTGATCCACCTGCCTTGGCCTCCCAAAGTGTTGGAATTACAGGCATGAATCATCGCACCTGCCCAAGAAACCCTATTTTCTATTACACCTTAAGTATGTGATTGGTTTTAATGCCTATCAATCACACGGTGCTTGTACCATGATTAATATACAAAAGAGCTGATGTCGAATGCAGCAGGGCACAGTGGCGCATCCCTGTTCCCAGCAACATGGAGGCCTGAGGTGGGAGGATCTCCTGAGGCTAGGAGTTTGCGACCAGTCTGAGCAACACAGCGAGACCACATCTCTAGGAAAAAAAAAAAAGTAAAAGAATGTAGCAGGAGAGGTGCTGCACACCTGTAGTTCCGCCTGTTCAGGAGGCTGAGGTGGGAGGATCACTTGAACCCAGGAGGTCGAGGCTGCAGTGAGCCGTGATTGTACCACTGCAGTCCAGCCTGGGTGACAGAGCAGGACCCTGACTCTAGAAGTATTAAAAAAGAAAAAAAAAAAATCACGTCACTGCACTCCAGCCTGGGCGACAAAGCAATACTCCATCTCCAAAAAGCAAAAAAGAAAAGAAAGCTTATGGGGCTGGGCGCGGTGGCTCACGCCTGTAATCCTAGCACTTTGGGAGGCCGAGGTGGGTGGATCACCTGAGGTCCGGAGTTCAAGACCAGCCTGGCCATCATGGTGAAACCCCATCTTAAAATAAATAAATAAAAAGAAAAGAAAGCTTGTAGGTCAATGTGCCTATTATGGAGACACAATGGGAAGGTTAGCACTACTATTTCACAGTGAAATAATGTGTAATTCCAGGTGAAATGTACATAAATGGTGACATTATGTATGAGATGCTAAAACTGTAACATTGTGGAGGACTGTTTTTCATTGCTCAACTTAGCAATTGCTTCAGAATAATTCACTAAAAATGTTTTCAATGCCTAGCAATGTTTCTTGAATAAATTATTAATGTATCAATGCCAGTAATTTTTTAAACTTACAAGGAAACAATTGCATTTTAAAGTCCTGACAGGCAGAATTTAAAGGCACTGGTAAAATTCCAACCATATTTTTCCCATTTGAAAGAACTGATTAACCTGCTAGTCTCTGAATGGCGGCGTTTTCAGAAAATATTTAGAAGATGGTCAAACCTATTCTGCTCTGTGCTTGTGAATTCCCTGTGGCTTCCATGACCTCATTTTGCTGGACACCCAGCGGATGACAGCTGTATAAAAGGTGTCATTACACACACAGTTCCAGTCAAGGTGATCACACTAAACCACAGACACTTGGAGCCTCGGTTAAAGACGGCACTTCCAACAGGCGTTCACCTCTGACCTCTCCCCAGTCCTCATTAACAGGAGGGGCAGATTTACTGTTTTCAACACGTGAATCCACAAGGGCAAGGCCAGTGGGAGAAGCAGGAGGTGGAGAGATGAGGGTAGCTGGTCCTGCAGGTGGAGGCGCTGCCTGACCCTCTGTAGGGAAGCTGTGAAAGGTCCAGGAATGGGCAGCTTCGGGGGCTTCTCAGGTGGGAGCAGCGGGGTGGGAGAACCCAGAGGCCCATGAAAAGGCGCTGAAGAAGCAGTGGGAGCTCCGCTGTGAACATGGCTGCCCAGTGTGCCGGCATCACACCGAAAATCATCCAGAAATGCTGGGTAGAACTGTACTTTAATTCTCGTAAATATGTTGAAGAACGAGCCAGGCCTGGTGGCTCAGGCCTGTAATCCCAGCACTTTGGGAGGTCAAGGCGAGTGGATCACTTAAGGTCAGGAGTTTGAGACCAGCCTGGCAACACAGCAAAACCCTGTCTCTACTAAAAAAAAAACCCAAAATATGAGAATCAGCCAGGCGCAGTAGCTCACGCCTATAATCCCAGCACTTTGGGAGGCTGAGGCAGGCGGATCACCTGAGCAGGAGTTTGAGACCAGCCTGGCCAACGTGGTGAAACACCATCTCTACTAAAAATACAAAAATGCAGATTTGAAGTTGTTGAGTCTTCCTGGTGAATTGAACATGTGGTTTAAGGTGACCCCACTGCTGGGCGTGGTGGCCCACACCTGTAATCCCAGCTACTCAGGAGGCTGAAGCAGGAGAATCGTTTGAACCCAGGAGGTGGAGGTTGCAGTGAGCCGAGATGGTGCCACCGCACTCCAGCCTGGGTGACAGAATAAGATTCAGTCTCAAAAAAAAAAAAAGTTGAAGAACAGATAAAATAAGAAACTTTCAAGTAAAGGTAAAAATACAGATGAAATAACCAAGCTAAAGGGAAGTACATTATCGAATTACATTAAAAACTAAAAACAAGAGGAAAATCAAACTAACTTTTTTTGCTATTGTGCAGGGACAGAGTCTCGCTCTGTTACCCAGGCTGGAGAGCAATGGTGTGGTCTTGGCTCACCGCAACCTCCGCCTCCCGGGTCCAAGCAATTCTTGTACCTCAGCCTCCCGGATAGCTGGGATTACGGGCACCCGCCACCATGCCTGGTTACGTTTTGTATTTTTGGTAGAGACAGGGTTTCACTATGTTGGCCAGGCTGGTCTCGAACTTCTGACCTCAAGTGATCTGCCCGCCTCAGCCTCTCAAAGTGCTGGAATTACAGGCATGAGCCACCGCACCCGGCTAAGAAGCATTACATTTTAAAAGTCAGAAAGAAATGCAGAAACCATAAGTAGGAAGGTAGTGGAGTTGTCTGGAAATAGGCAAAATACTTAGGCAAAAAGCGGGAACACCCGTGGGGCCACATTGTAACCACGTGCTCAATCCACCAGGGACACTCGACAACTTCAGACCTGCATTTAACATTAACTGTTCAGATTATTCATTGGTCAAAGTATTCATTACAGGTGCTACTTTAGACATACGAAGAAACAGAGAAAAAAGTCAAATTAAGTGTATGTCCTCCTGTGGGCTTCTAAGTGGACTAGCAATAACAGAAAGAAGGTCTCCTGAAATATCGGCTGGGCGCAGTGGCTCACGCCTGTAATCCCAGCACTTTGGGAGGCTGAGGCGGGTGGGTCACTTGAGGTCAGGAGTTTGAGACCAGCCTGGCCAACATGGTGAAACCCATCTCTACTAAAAATACAAAAATTAGCCAGGTAGGTGGTG